CAATCTAACTTCCAAGCACGGCGAACGGATCAACAACCAAGCAGCTCACCCGGGGCTACCTATCTTCTGAAACCTCACTGACACACTGGCCGAATATCCCAGCAAAGTTCGGAAGAGATGGTCCTCGACCAAATAGTATTGGTCTCTCTTGAGCGAAAAACTAAACATGATATTGAAAGTGAATGGCCCACCAAGTCCCTGATCCCACGGGGCAACGAAGGAAATAAGGCTGTTCAAATGAGTTGAAAGTGGGCACAAATAGATAAGAACTCGGACAGACTGTATCAATGGAACGCAAGAAGAGAATCAGTCAAACATTCGACTTACCCATAACGTTTAAATAACCCAAAATGGTGCGCAGCCGCTTCTGTAGTTGTTTTTCATCTGTTTAAAGACGAGATAAATTCGCTTACAAGTTGGACCAGAGAAGAATGAAGAGCGGTGGAAGCACTTACTAGTGAAGAGAAAGCAGAATACAAGATATAAGCATGGACGATTGAAGGTAGCCATACCAAAAGTTTCAGCTGCTCCCGCGGAAATGCGAAAAAATATGGCAAGACTCAGAGAAGACGAAAGCACTACAGGGAATGAGTTGTGAACAAAATTAGGAATCCCGTTAAAATGCAAAAAAACTATTTCTGGTCAGATCGACCTTGGAACAAGATGGCTCAGTGGCCAGAGCGCGAATTTACTGACCGGAAGGTCTGTCGTTCGAACCCGACCTCTACATCTCGACTTCCCCTGTCTAGACTTGAGCGACTTGGCAGTATCCCAACCCTCGTGCTTCCTTCGAATGGCATGACAGCTAGGAGCCGAAAGTGTGCTACAGCTGAACGAAGAAACTGCTAACGTGGAAGCTCCTAAATTCTTCTGATATTATAAAACCTTGGGTTCGAATTTTATCACACAAGGTGAAGTTAGCCTATGCAGAAAAGCTCAAAATTACCTTGCGGCTATTTCATTCTTATTAGACATGATCACCAACACGCATTCCATCTGGACTGGATCACGTGCTTCCCAAATAGGAATAAAATATCTTAACTCACACCCAAGCAACACAATACTTCCCACGAGAGGCCGCCATACTAATGAGTTCACAAAAGCGTTCTATTTTGTATACTGCCTACTGTGTGGTCCATGCAAACAGAGGCCTTAGGATACAGGAAACATACTGCTTTTCCTGCAACTTTTCGCTCATAGGTGCCCATAAGTTATCGCTCAATGGAAGATGAGGACCAGCAATACGTCGTGCAAGGGTGACAACTGTGCTGATATGATTATCAGTAGCTTGAACTTAAACTATCTGACTACTAGTCGGAAGGTTATAGGTAAAAGAAACAGTCTGGGTTGATGAGCTACCCACTGCTGGTGATCTCTATCAAGGATGACAACCATAGAGGACCTTATCAGCACACATTGGCCCGGAAAATAAGAAAAAGAAACCGAAGGCCTGCTTCACAGTTTAGAAAGACACCCTACTAACAACAGCCAAACAAAGTTGTCGCAGTCTCTTCAACTTCAGTTAAAACATGGTGAAATTAGGTATCATTTCAAACCTACCGATGACGCGATATGAAAGCCCAGCGAATGAGTTTATGTGGTTGTACAAGGCCTGCGATGCAATGTTTCGTATTAAGCGACTACCAGTCACTGATTTTGGAAGAGAGAGATGAATCAACGGGACTTCATCTGGTTCTTCAGATTGTACAAACTTCCCCAAAACTTGCGAAGCTGTCAAACTAGTCCGAATGGAAGGATCATTTAAGGGGGAATTATCAATGGTATTCGTCTGAGCAGCGATCGTGATTAGCCCGGCAACGACTGTATCCCGTACGGCAGAAAATGACAGAAGCGCGGGACACTGGAATAACATAGCGGATAGCCAGTTGACCAAAGCAACAGAAAGCCGGCTGTTTTCATCAAAGTTGAGTTCAAGTTGCACATGAAGTAGATTGTCCACAGTAAGAGAGACAAGTTGATGGATGTGTGAACAAGATTGCTCGTACCATTCGGGGGAAAATAATCCAGTATTGGGTCCTCCTACGGCTTTAAAAAAATCAGGAAAGTGAATACATACTGAAATGCTTGATAGAATTACCCAATACACTGTAGATATAATAAAAACCAGGGGATAAGAATGTTAGGGAACACACAAAGGGTTTTCCTCAGCGTCTAACTTAACTAGAAATAACGATGGCCATCAGTGTCTATTCACATCAGCTCTCTATCCACCCGTTGTCCATGGACTCGGCACTGCGGTCGCTATTTGATACAGGGCACTGTATTGCATTATGCCGGATTATTTGTAGCCCGGGTGCGTTTACTGGTTGACTTACTGGTTTGCAAGCCAACTGCCAAGCACGTTGAACAGACCAGCAGCCAACTGTATTGTATTTCCTCCGGAATAGAATATCCAAACACGAAGAAATGACTCCTTATACTACTCCACAAAGTCGGCAAAGTAGGTGAAGATTAACGAACCTGAATGACACTCACGTGTGTGACTAACACAAACAGACTGTGAGCACTATCCCTACGGTAGTATCCGATAATCGGCCGTGGCACGGTTACCAAGGCAGACCAAACCAAACAGTGATGTTCTGAAATACCGGTAGCCGGGTGACCACCAACCTAAGAAGTGTCGGAGAGCTCACCGAATATCTCTTGCTAAACATTCAGACTAAATAAACGATTGCTTATGGTGTTATGGAATATAAGTACTCTAAGAGATGCTAACATGAACAGTGTGCTTGGGCGGGATTCAATAGCCAATCATTCAACGTAAGAACCAAGCGGTCGAAAAACCCCGAGAATAGTTACTCCTGTCCAATTTTTGATATCACGTTATCCTTCTGTGCGTCTCTAGGGTGTTTTCATCCACATAAAGAATAGTGGCGTAAATATACTATTCCGTCCAGACAGCACCACCTAAAGAATTGTTCCATAAAAAGATGGCCATGCAGTTATGACCACAAATACATCCGCCGAATGCTAAACAGCATTGCATTTGCCATAAAAAGCAGGTAACGGATTGTAGGGTATTCGTGCTTTTTGAACCTAAGCTGACCTGCAGCGCTGACATGATAGGCCTCATTGGTGGCTGCATTTTCTATGGGGTGGCGAGATGGATTCGTAGGTCACAGGCCAGTGACGACCGACACATCTCAAAGAAAGCAAGCAGAATTAGATGGCTAATCTATTTAGATGGTTTTCTGGGTGAGTAGCGAAAGCAAGCAGAATTAGATGGCTAATCTAGTTAGAAAACAATGGTTTTCTGGGTGAGTAGTGCGGTGACATGAAGTCGAATGTACGGGTTCAAGACGCATCAACAGCAAGGCGAGTAGATGCGCGTGGGAATTTACGGGTCCATTCATGTGAAGCTCTAAGTGCAAGCTGTCTAGAGGTGCTTCGTGAGCAGTTAATGTCAATGAAGTATCACAAACGACTATGCACTACGTACCCGAAATGTCTCAAAAAGGCGGAATCCAGTTCGCCTGCAGTCAAACAATATATGCGGGAATAAGTTGGGTCTTCTAAGGAACAACTATGCGGATACAGGACACTGTCAGTTGACGCAAGGGCTGACTTATAGCGGTAAAATTACTAGAGCTAACTTCTTCAAAGGTCCTGGTCTTACTGATGAAATACGGAAGCGGAAAACAGCTATTGTGGGGACTGTCCGACCTGTCGGGATTGTAGCGGATGCACTATGTCTGATTGAATGAAATATACGTACAGAGTCCAAGAAGCGCAGACCGGCGCATGTGTTTCCGATGATGCACCGCAGTTGCTACTTTCGGTGATTTGGAGCATACGCTGTACACTCGAAGATCGGCTAATAACTGCTTTAGAGAATATTTTGAACATTACTTCACTAATACTTGGATTCATTACCAAGTGGTAGTGATCCAAAAAGCATCGAACATGAGATGTTGATCGGTTTGCCGAGATCGACCACTGGTTTGCAAAAACCCCGTCACCCCTCGCCCAACAGCGCACCCCATACCAGAAGAAATTAAATTTAAGGCTCAAACTAAGTAATTAAAGCAAACACGTACGTATACACTCCAACCATCCCGTTGTAATAATCAAAGCTTAGCATAAACGATGCCAGCGGTTGCAGACATTTGTATCGCATTACTTAAGACAGCTCCACAAGTCATGTCCCAATTACCCAAGCGGATACTTGTCAAACTACGATAACATCTGTAACATTTTATCAGCTATGAATCGGGTACTAGGGGTATGGCACTTCCGACAGCTATAAGTAACCGGTGAAATCGGTAAGAAGGCAACAACCTATTTCAGAATTGCTGCACTGCGGCAAAATGATGATTGAGACAGCTGCGCAATGAGCTCAAACGATCCGTTGTAGAATGATGACTGAAAGTGTAACCGTCCATATTTGTCAGAGTATATAGGCAGTGACGTGTACCGAGGTGCCTGTCTAGAAATATGACAGCTACCAAAGCAACAGAGTCTAGTAGCCATCTTGCAATCCGTTTGGCTTTGAGAAGTTCCCTGCATGGCCTTGTGATACATAGTCTCTAAGAGGCAAAGTAGTTGCCTGACAAGTTCGGTGTGCTCAGGACATCATATGCATCCGATTGTCAAACGAAGCTATGCACTATGAAATTCACAGGACGGCACTAGAAATGAGACCACCCAAACAATAAACAAGTCCATAGATGAAAAATACTTGATAACAAAAAGGCTAAAATCACGTCGTCGGATAATGGCGTGGTAGTCATTACAAAATGGTCGGAATAAATTATTCCTGGAGTGGCAATGAGTGTGTTTGTGGCCTGAACCAATGCGTTGTCGAACAGAAAAATAAGATAATTGGAGATAACACAGCGTTTACATGGTGGTCATGGACCCCTTCTGAGCCATTTAATATAAAATTAAAGCGTTGTAAGGCGAGTAAATACATCAAACATTTTTCATAATCGTCATCGACAGCATGACATAGGTGTTCAACACTGATGATTCACTACCCTACAACCATGGATTTATTTGAAAACCTTATCATGAAAAAAAAGAATAAAAAAAAGAAGAGCTACTAACCTGAGTTTTTGGTCTTTGGTTTCTGGAGGCAACCGAAAACAACCATAAATACAACAGCCCAAGTTTGTAACGCTGTCTAGAGAGAGAGGAACGTAACTATGTGATAAATAACCCACTTCTTTCACACTGGAACCTATCTTCACATCACCCGTAATAAGGCGAAAGAGACCTTGAGAGATTCCGGGCAGCAACTGTGCAATTCTCAAAGGCACAAGCCGACTGAGTTGACAATTTTCTGGATATGCGCATAATGTTGGACCAGGACGAACCAGGTGTTGCAAAGCAAATAGAGCTTGGACGCGGACAGCGCGCCAACTGGAGAACTCAGCCATTTCCAAAAGAGTCGAACAAATATGACTGAGTAGAGGTAGATGTTTGGTTGAATACAATTTAACTGCGGCACTTCGGGATAAATAAACAAACTGGTGACAATTTACTTGGATGTGATACACAGGAATAGGTCGCCAACAAAAGTTGAAATTGATAGGCAACATTCCTCTGAAAGTTTGGACCACGGACGTTCGGTTTCGCCGGAGGAAAGAGAGAACATAAGTGAACTCAAATCCTCAAATAGTTGGATGCAAGTAATGGGGCTAACAAACGGGTCCTGGTCTTTGAAGAATGTCGCATAAGTGCGATAAACTAGCTCAATGAGGTCACTCCTGTTGTTCCTAGAATGAACGTATTAAACAAGATGTAGAAATACTCACCCGGGGTCAGCAAAGAACAGACGTATTCGAGGGTGAAGAATGAGGAACAAATCCCTAAGACTTTCTTTATCACGATTTTCAGTGAAACGAAGCAAGTTGTGTAAAGTTGACGCCCAAGTGCCTTTGTCAAGCTGGAGACAAATATCCTGCAAAACGTTCATGACGGAAAAAATTTTGGGCCGGAAAGAAAATAAACTCCAGTGAAACCGTGACCTAACTGGGGACAAGTAGTCTCATGCCAAAAGCAGAAAGTAGCTGAAAGTGAACAGGAATAAGACTGGTAGTAAAAGTAAGAATCACTGTGATACAAAAAATATGATGCTTGCGTGGATACAACAAGCTATTAAAAATGTGTCCGTAAGTTGCAATCTTACTGCAGTAAATTTCACTAGTGTTTTAGCGCCCAAACTTATCGTAAAACGACGGGAATTTCGTACAACGTAAACACCCCTGAAAGTAAGTTAACCGAACAATGTCTAGAGAACCACAATTTCTGTCACCTGAATTTGTTTATCTACCTGTTTAGGGTTTTCTAATACTTCAAGTTATTAAGCCCCAAGGAATGAAAAAAACAGGGACCTTCTGGAAATAGTTTTCACGCACGTTAATTACAGTGCGCAAACGTTGCTGACTGGATCGGCAACGTAAGCGCTATCATAAAACAAGGGGTCATTAGATGGATGCAATGTTTCTCAAACTGTGGGGAGTTCACTCGTTTGGGAAGTATGGAAAAATAGCCTGAAGCAGTAGACGGTGGTGACCAGGCCGATGTCGTACCAGTTGACTTCAGTAAGGTGTTCGGTTGGGTACCAAATCAGTGGCTTTCAATAAAACGAACTCCCACGGATTAGACAGAAAAGTTAAATTTCGGATCCAGGACGTCATCTGCGGCTTGAGTAAGTGATGCATACTCAGATTGGGCTGCACATAATGGAGTACCCCAAGGATCGGTGCTGGGGTCAGGAGCGTCTGAGGGTTAGGCAAATGATCTTCCGTCCGGGCTCCACCTTACCAACCTCATGTTTTTGATTGACCTGAAGCTTTGAGCGGGTGTCAACAACGCAGATATGATCGAAACATCGTAGGCTTCCCGCAATATACTTTACGACTGGTCGTTATGGAATTTCCCCTTAAACTGTGGCAAATGGGCGTTTTCCATTAGAGTCTACCGCAGTGGCGGTATCTACTGAGAGAGCTACTCTCGGGGAATCTAGAAATCGTTTTCACCGGATGTGAATTCAACTGAAGACTTTTTGGGGAAGATGGTGGCTGCTTACGCCGGACTTTGGTGGCCCATTGGAAGATCACCTACCCAAATATGACCAGGAAAGTTCTGAATAATTTTCAAATATCATGTTATGTCAGTCTTGGGGTGTAATAATTTCAGTGCCTCAGCTGATTTCTCGGTCTGATTTTCCCAAGCTAGCGATTTTCAGCAGAACCACCAAGGCTAAACAGGGTGTATTAAGCGCCCCAAAACCAGGTCAAAACTCATATACAGCGTGTCGCATTTAAAGTGCAGGCAACAACATTCTGGAGATTCCGACGCCTTCTGGACGCATCATTCGTAACCACTATTCAGCGGATATTGTTGTGTGACAGGCTGTTGTGTTCGCATTTTCAACCAGTCAGAATTCACACCTTGGTGCTTGCTAGGAATATCAGTCTCCCTAAAAACTCTTCAGTCATTGAGTTATTGTTGGATTGGTTTCTAAAAACTTGAATTCCAATTTTCACACCACCTTAGACATTTTATCAAAATGTCCCGTTTGCTTCCTACCCGCCAGTAAAATTTGTATGTGCTAATGCACTTGGCGTCTGCTCGCAATGTAAACTGCCCTTGGTCGAGGCGGAAAAATTTTTCTCCAAAGATTTCGTCTTCTGCGCTAGAAGCGGTTGGGCTAGCGTCATATCTGGGGATTTGTGTGATCATTTTCATTTCGTGTATAGCAGTGATCGTTCCATAGACAATTAACAGTGCTCGATCGGAAAGCGGTCCGATCTTCTGACCAACCATGTGCGAGTTGAGTTCATTGGCAGTTTCAGCACCTAATTGTGAGCGGTGAGGGGGTTTTGGCCTAGCATTCCGCCCAGTAGTGGCCTCACTGGCTTCCGGGTCGTCTGTTCAGCAACGCGGTCGTATTGCTCCAGCTGAACACCCAACGGAGTAGTTGATGGAGTTTCCACAGTTCAGCCGGGACCAAAGGTGTCCAAAAACACTTGGAGCTTCACATCACTCGGTTCTGCGCATTTGCTAACCGGACTGGGTGTCCGTGTCACATCCACTTGCTTGAACCAACTAGGATCTGGTAAATTACTTCGCAGCGCCGGCGAAGGATGTGCCATAATATTTACTCAGGGCGCCTACCACTGTAGTCCCGAACCGACATTCTCTGGCCTTCGCTGGAACAGTGCGTGGCTGCGCCGTGATGATTGAATTGTTCATCCAACCGAGTGCTACGATGACCCAGTTTCTCTTTCTTTGCTTGAAAGTGTAACGTGGTGTTCGAGTTTTCCGTGGAAACAGTACCTCTGCTGATGCTGACGAATTCGGGTTCGGCGCCTCTCCATGTCAACAGGAAATTTTAGGTTCGTTCAAGATCGGGAATTTAACCCGCTTCAATTTGACTTGCAAGAAACCTTTACCATTCGCACAGATGTCCATTCTCAGTGGCTTTCTAGGCAGGTCGGCTCGATACTCTTGAGCTCTTGAAATCTGTCCAATTTGATGAATGGAACTGTTGTGCTTTAGCATACTTAACGCTGACACAAGCCAAATTATAACCGGACTCCGCACAATGCCGTGATCAGTGTCAAGCTGTGTACCCCAGAAGGAATGACAATCCTTAATGGAGGCTTTCCATCGGTATTCGAAGGCCACATGGTACAACTGAGCCCACGATTACCTTGCGGTTGGTGGCCTCCAAGTGAATCGATGTGAGCGTTTGTGTTAGCAAAGAACACACAATGATCGGAACACAACTGAAGCAGTCGCTCCTCATTGTCCGTACGCTGAGCACTCCAAATCCACGATTACCTTGAGGTTGGTGGCCTCCAAGTGAATCGATGTGAGCGTTTGTGTTAGCAAAGAACACACAATGATCGGAACACAACTGAAGCAGTCGCTCCTCATTGTCCGTACGCTGAGCATCGACTCCAAATCTATTACTTAGCTGTGCTCCTAGAATTAGTGGTCAACTTGGGTATTCAAATCGCCCACTATGTTCACTATATCCGTCCTTCTCACCGACCGAAGCAGTCGTGACAGATCTTGATAAAGCCCGTCCTTCTCAGTCTCAGAACTGCAGCCCGTCGGAGTTTGCCGGCATGACAAATAGACACCATTTGCCACATCGAACTGCATTGATCTTCATTGAGTCAGACAACCGCACAGCGCAATGAGGCCTTTTGGCCGGAATCAAGTCCAGTGAGGCACTTTCAGCCTTGGGAATGAGTTCAACTCTCACACCGTAGATACAACGAGCCATTGGGTCAGAATCACGTGACGCCGATAGCAAAATGTGGAACACATGAGTCCGTCTAAAAACAGATTGAGGGAAACGATCAAAGTGGGGTCTTCAATGTTTAGGAGACACTATGGACATCGACAGATAGGGAAGCAAGGTTTCAGCGAGAGATGCCTGTTGCCCAATTTAACTTACAGTATGGACCTTGAAGGCTGCAACGCGAATCAGATCTATTGAGGCTATTAAGTTATTATTTTTGTTCATTTTTCTGGGCGATGGTTTAGACATTAAACAATGGCTAGGGTGGTGACCCCACTGCATCATTTGATGAGCGCGGATATGTGGGAGAATACCGTTGAGCGGAGCAGCAAGGGTTTTAGACAGAATTCCGCACGGCAGTATGCATGCACTGGAAGCACCAGGGGACAGTGCTTCCATGCACAGTACAGCACCCACACCACGTTACCGCACGCAGTGAAGCACTGCTATGGCCAACGGATTCACGGATTGATACACAGGATCGAGGCTATTGCCCAAGTTCCCCGGGTCGCTTTTGTTCTTGTCCGTCAGTCGCTGTCGTTCACCTGAAAGGCACAAGTGAAAAAAGGGTGTAGCACTGCTCTTTATGATCTCAGCGCGGGGCAGTATGCTTACTAGCGCGAGGATTCGCATAAATAAGTGTCTAATAGCGCTTTAAACTGGGTTCTAGAAGGAGCGTGAACAACCGCCGGAGGAAGGTCATTCCACGCACCCACTACCCGAAATGAGAAAACATTTTGTCTAATGAATGTGTGTGCTCTGAGGTTGAAAATATTCTCACTTTGTCCCCGCCGGGTGTTTGCCGGTTCAACGGTAAATACGTGTTTGCCAAGGTTTGTTCAAACGGGGCATAAGTAAGAATTAGGTCCCCTCGGATGCGAAGGTACTCCAGGGGAAAGAGATCAAGCATCGCGAGACGCGTTTCGTAGTCCACGGATTTGAGGCCGGCAACCATTCTCGTGGGGGCTCGCGTGACACGCTCAGTGAGGGTGATGTCTTTCGTGCGTCCTGAGTAGACAACTTGGTTGTTGTATTCCAGGAGCGGTCTGACGTAGGCCCCATAGAGA